GCCCAAACCCAAACCCAAACCCAAACCCAAACCCAGGCCCAAACCCAAACCCAAACCCAAACCCAAACCCAAACCCAAACCCAAACCCAAACCCAAACCCAAACCCAAACCCAAACCCAAACCCAAACCCAAACCCAAACCCAAACCCAAACCCAAACCCAAACCCAAACCCAAACCCAAACCCAAACCCAAACCCAAACCCAAACCCAAACCCAAACCCAAACCCAAACCCAAACCCAAACCCAAACCCAAACCCAAACCCAAACCAAAACCCAAACCCAAACCCAACCCAAACCCAAACCCAAACCCAAACCCAAACCCAAACCCAAACCCAAACCCAACCCAAACCCAAACCCAAACCCAAACCCAAACCCAAACCCAAACCCAAACCCAACCCCCAAACCCAAACCCAAACCCAAACCCAAACCCAAACCCCTTGGTATTATGGCAATATTTCTATTGAGTATTGACATTGCAACATTTCCCAAATTGGTAATATAGAAAATAAAATCATGATATCAATTATTTGTCGATAAAATGAATAGATATACGATATTATCAAATAAAATATATAGGTCCTTATTGAAAGTGTTTACCTGGTAAATAGTGAGCGTAACTTCCCCTACTTTCATCCTAATTGATTATCTCCCTATATATATGATAGATTTCAATTATTTCAATTACATATCATAATACATGATAATTAGACATGTATCAATGAGTGGAATTAAGTCATGTAAGATATTCATCCTTCAATTACCAATATTGTCATTTTCACACAAGTTGACTTCCTACAGTCTGAATATGGATCCAGTCATGTCGATTTCAATTTTATATGATTATACTTGATATTTACTACAATATTTATGTGTTTGATTGAATGTTATAGTGTTTCCATAGTATGGCTCAATATCTTGGTCAATTAAGGTAGAATGAGTACAGTATACTAAGGATATCAAATATTATACTTCCAACAGTTCTACAAGGTAGATATCATCATTATACATCATATATATGAGATTGATGATGATTGTAATAACATTCATATTATAGTACAATAAATGTTGAAAAGTTAATTTTTAGACAAGTTGTAATTTATTACATATACCGATGCAACATGATTAATTCATAATATCATCTATTCATCTATATATCTACAATATGG